ATCCCCCAGCACCACATGCCAGCCAGCCCCGCCCCCTGGTGGGCTGAGCTGGCCACCCCCCCCCCACAAATAAATAAATTAAATAAATAAATTTAAAAAAAAGAACTACAGGGACAACCCGCTCGGGCCCCCTTCCTTTCCCTCTCTTGGACAGGAGCTTTCTTTCCGCCCAATAAATATTTTCTGCTCATAACCTCCGTTTGTTCCTAAAATTCATTCTTAGGTTTCAGAGAACGTGAACTTGTCCCAGGTTCTTTCAGGTTGGTAGTTTCATTTCTTTCCCTTATATCATTTGGAGGCCATACGCTGAGATCACTTTTCCCCCATATCAATAGGAAAATGAATGCTTAATAAAACAGACTGAGACAAAAATAAGACTGCCTTGTGAACAAAAAAAATTAAAAAAAAAACTACAGACTTAGTTCAGATATATAAATCAAAAGATCTTATTGATAGCAAGAATCATTTTGTTGAAAAATTATATCATAATGTGGAACAGTATAAATTCATGATTTCTATCAATGTGAAATAAAATTTAATTTAAAAGAAGAATTAGAGCCCAGGGAGATAGCTCAGTAGAATAAGCGCTTGCGTGGCAAGCACAGGGTCCTGAGTTCAATCCCTGGTACTGGAAAAAAAAAAACAATTCGATAATCTCAGTGCTGGAAGCCTGCTTATCTGTGCTGCCTGGGGGCCTCACCCTCTGGTTACCAGGATAGCTTGGGAGTGGGAAAGGCAAGGACCCGCTCTGACGAACAGCACAGCAGGAGTCTCACGCAGATCTGCCAGGGCTGGAGCCCCACAGAAGGCCCGAGTGTCTAGGAGCTTTTGCACACGCGGCTGAAGGGAGAGGAGGAGTGGGAGACCCTGCTACGGGGCAGCGCCTTGGGGTGCAACTGGAGGCCTCTTCCCAGGACCGCGGGGTCCTGGGTGTGGTGGGCCCTTCTCCATGGCCCTGTCCCTGCCAACTGCCCCAGCCCGGGTCCCCTCACCGTGTCCCCTCCTCCCCATGGCCCTGCCAACTGTCCCAGCCCGGGTCCCCTCACC